TGCCCTCTGGTCTGTCTTCCCCCAGGTCCAGACACCACTGGTCCCAACGCCGTCACAAGGGTGTTCTCCCCCCTCCTGAACCTGAGGAGGATCCTGAGTCTTTTATCCTGGACCTGAGGAACTTCCCAGAGCTGGCCACTGCAAACATGGGCTCACAGCACCCTAACATCCAGGTTGGGAGTGTCAGTCAATATTTTCTGAACTCACTGGCTGCTTCCTAAATCTCTTATAAGCATGGTAATTTCCCTCATCTGCATTGTTTCCTTGCGTCTTAGGCCCACCCAATGACAAAAAGCTAAGAAAGCATGAGCGGAGGGAGGACCCAAGGAAACACATTATTAACAACATAAAGCCTAGTTTCCTCCAGTCCGTCATCTGAAGCATCCAGTCACCAACTAATATCTAATAAAGGAGGGTGATGGTTCATAAAAAATTTCTGCAAAATATGGTCTTGTGTATCCTCTCTGATGGCTCCTCCAGCAGCTGCCTTGATGCTTGCTGCTCAGAACTGATATAAGAGACTTGGATCATCCTCAGTCCATAGGAGGATGTAGGAAAGATCATATAAGAGCCTTGGGAAGCAGCCATTGCATTATGTGAAGTACAGATAGGTGAGAAATTTAAGGAAATGAATGGTTTGATGAGTCTGAAAATGTGAATCATATGCTATGGCCTTCATAGTCAACCCAGTTGAACACCTATGGGAGATTTTGGAGTGACATCTCTACCACCATTGCCAAAACACCACGAGGGAATATCATTCGGAAGAATGATGTTCATCCCTCCAGTAGAGCTCAGAGACTAAGATGCACTGAAGCTGTTCTGGTGGCACGTGGTGGTCCAACACCTTACTGAGATACTTCATGTTGGTTTGTCCTTTCATTTTTCACTTGTCTGTAGGTGCACTGAAGCCTTCTAGATTAAGAAACCAGCCAGTGGAGGCAGGAGTATGACTGAGTCCTCCATCCTTTCCTCTTTTTCTCTCTTCCACATCAAGTATTTTTCTCTCCCTCCATACATTCCATCTCTCTGTACAGATGGTTTGAGTCAAGAGAGCATCTTAAGTTACCATAAGCAGGACCTATAACAGTGGAGTGCTCCAGTTCATCCATGAATGACCACAGGGTTTCAGACATAAAAGAAAACTATGGGAAAGTGGAAATATTAAACATATGAGAGTCAAATATAAAAAGCGAAAGAAGGTTTGTGAAGCCAAGTCCTGGTGAAGTTGCTGTATGAATAAAAGTCAAAGAAGCATGGCTTGTGCAGTGGTTTTAAACACACACACAAACAAACAAAAAAGTTAAATGCAGTAATGCAGTGGACTGGGGCAGGAATTCCATGAGATGGTCACTTATCCAGATATGAAACATCAGCTAACTTTATTCTGCTATTGAATTATATGTTGATAAGTTACAAGAAGAACTAAGAGTCTACAGCCATACACTGTGTGGCAGCTATAATGTTTCCCATGCTCACCTCCTTAATTTAGTGTCTTATGATGCTAACATTTGTTAATTAGCTCTAAAAAAAAAGTTTAGCTGAGGCACATGGGAATGCCTGTAGTTTTGCAGGCATGTAGTCATAAAGCAAAGTACTGGACAAATACAAATGTTGGTCCAATAATGGAGCTGGATGTAAAGGAAGATCACCAAATTTATTAGGATTCATCATCTTGGTCATATACTGTAAATATCTATAGCAAATTTGTGGGCATGAAAAACATGAAAAGTATGAATTAGAGCATTGCTAAATAAGATGATATTCACTATATCATTTTTAGTTTAGCTATACATATAAACAGGAAGTGGGTAGTCATGTTGGCGTGTATTATGAAGTGATTTATCTTATTTGGGACAGTAATTTTTGTATTTATTTGAAAGAGGACAGAAGAGAGGTGACAGGATATTAGGAATACTGAGGTCAAGATGCAAACTTCCTCAGTGCTTGTTATCTTCCTTAGCAAGGTTTACCGTCTTAGTTTTTGGATATTTTTTATATTTCATTATCCACTTTAATGCCAAGTGTATGTTTTATTTACATACAGTAAGGTGTACCATACGTGTTACCTTCTCCACACTGCCACAGTTAAAATTAGAATGGACAATTACTACTGTACATCCTTTATTTGATAGCATAAAAACAGGTGAATTTAAATACACAGAGTTTAAAAATGCTGGTATCAATGAATACAACTCACCCAGTGTCCCCAGTTACTTTAGGAGGCAGGTTACACCCTGGACAGGTCACCAGTATTACAGGGCTGACACATAGGGACAAACTTGGTGGTGAATGCATATCCTAAACAATTCAGTCAAGACCAATTAAAGCCAAGAGTGAAACAAAATACAAGTTTATTTGTAAAGTTCAGACAGATGGTCCAAATGAGTCAAACGGTTTTCTTCTGCTGACTCTTCCATGAAGGCCTTGTCTGTGCAAGCATCGCTGCACAGTGGAACGGTGCACCACCACTCCTGAGTCTGCTAAATCTTCCTGCAGGTTTTTTGCAGTCAAATGGGGGTTTTGATTTGTCTTTCTGACCAGCATACGAGCAGTTCTGTCCGAGAGTTTTCTTGGTCTTCCAGATCTCATCTTGACCTCCACAGTTCCCCTGATCTGCCATCTCTTAATTACATTTCTTACTGTGGAAACTGCAAGCTGACAACGCTTTGCTATCTTCTTGTAGCCTTCTCCTGCATTGTGGGCATCAATAACTTTCATTTTCAGGGTCTTACACAGCTGCTTAGAGGAACCCATGGTTGCTGGGTGTCCGCAAGTGTGTGCACAAGGTTTGAAGAGTCAAGGTATTTGTACAGCTTTGAAATTGGCATTTACCAATGACAGCTGTTGCTGTGCATCAGATCTACCGAGCTGATTAAGGTCTGAAACCTTGTGAGAGACTTTGAGACTCTGGAACTCTTAGGGTGCCCAAACTTTTGCACCATGCCATAATAATGTTTTTATTTTTTATTTTTGTTCAATTTATGGCATAAGAAGTAACTATGCATCACTGTTTGCTGAAAATATTGTGCATTTTTTCCATTTCCAAGAGAAACCGTGTTAACATCTGTTCAAATAAAAAATCACCAAAATCTGTTATTTATCAAGGGGTGCCTAAACTTTTGCATAAGACTGTATTATGGGACCAAACAAACACTATTCAGACGTAGCCAGTACCGAATAATTCAAAAACACCTGCACTGTTTTTGATGCAATGACTTCTGTGAAACCAATGGAGCTTACTTTACCTTAGTACTTTTCCCATATTTTGTGTAAGACCTTTTGCTTAATGTGTTTTGACAATGAATTACTTTAAAGGAACAGTTCACCATTCTGGAAATACATGTATTTGCTTTGTTTCCAAGAGTAATGTGAGAAGATTAATATCAGCCTCATACTGGTCTGTTCCATACAGAGCTTAGTCGAGATGTGGTTAGCTTAGCTCAGCATAAATACCGCAAGCAGAGCAAACCAGTTAGCCTGGCTCTGTTATATGTGCCAACACCTCACTAATACTGTAAATCTGCAATACTGTAAGTCCATTAATTAACATGCTGTTATCTTGTTTGTTTATATATCCATTTATATGCTGGAACAAATTCTTGGTGAACAATAGTGTCTTCTTTCAGTCTTTGTGCTAAGTTCTCACCTCCCTATTAGATATACTGTGAAGCAGTACTGACTATCGCATCTCGCTATAAGACTGAGCACAGATAAACATGCTGAATTATGCCTAAGTTTATCAGTCTCACAAGAAAAAACACACAGAATAAAAGTGAAAATGTATGATTAATCGCTTGAACTGAATCAGTTTTCAAGTTTGTTGTTGTTGCTGATTGTAGCTGATTCAGTAGAGGGTCAACAAATTTGATGCATCTTGGGATGCCTGTGGCTCAGGAGGTAGAGCATGTTGTTCCCTAACCATAGGGTCGGTGGTTCCCAGCTTCTCCTGTCCACATGTTGAACCTCTAGTTGCTCCTGGTGATGTCACTGGTGTGTGCATATGTTGGTGTAAACGATGTAAAGTGCTTTAAGTGCACATCAATGTCTAGAAAAGCACTATGAAAGACCATTTACCATCTTCAAAAGTTACTGAGCTGCATACTGAAGCAAATCACCATTAGTGAATTATCAATTTCTCAAATGACTTTCAGACTATTTAATATTAGTGTGACTCCAAATTCTGGGTGTCACGGTGGTTAGTGCTGTTGCCTCACAGCAAGAAGGTTCCGGGTTTTATCCATTTCTCTCAGTCCCTTCCTCTGCTGCACAATAGCCTTCTTTCATAAAAGGAGAGAAATCTTTTAATCTGATCTTCAAATAAACAGACTGCAGCAGTGACATCACTCCCTTCATCGTGTCTGAGAGCTTGTACTGACATGTCAACACTGTTGTATATCACCACTTGTTATTTAAGTTATACCTTTAATCTAGTGAGATATTTAGAATGCAGACATTCCATAATCACCAAGCTGATAAGCTCCTCAGTGGTCAGGAATCAATTGATGCAGCTTTACCTAATCTAATACTAACTTCACATCTTTGCTATTAAATGGTCAGTAGAGCATCTTCTCTCTTCTCTGGAAAAGGTTGTAATCAAACAGGAACACTCACTACTGATATAATTCTAATCAGACCAAGCAATCAGATACTACTGCTGCTATCTTGGCTAGACTGTTTACTGTTGCCACTGTGGCTTTTTCACAGACTCACAGGCTTCACAAAAATAATGTCATAGTAAACAGTTTTACCATACAAAAAATTAACTGGAAATAATGCAGAACTTGTGCTGATAAACTCTTTGGGATTTCTCTGTCAAATAAACTTTACACATAGAAAACAAAAGAGAACAAACCCAATGAGTTTTAGTGGGTTTTAGTTTTAGCTGCAAATAACCTATAATAATGTGGTCATTTTGAACGAACAACTCCCCATGCTGTAGAAATTTGACAGATGATAGGAGTAGTAATATTAACAATTATTAATTAATGCAAGTGATGTTAATTAGATTAAGGTCAGACTTTTCGATATAACCCCCTATTCCACTGCCCGGTATTGGCTCAACTTGACTCGAGTCTAGTTGACTTATTTGCTTTTCCATCAGTCAAATTTTGGGGATAGTAACTGCAACCTGGTAATATTTTTGGTATCACCTCCTTTGGAAATCCATAGTTACTATGTGCCAATCTTGCAACCGATGAACTCGGATGTTTACATGTGATGACACTAGTCATTTGTTCTTCATTTGTTCATACTAGTAATTGCTGCTTCTTTCTAATAACTGTTGAAGAGGGTAAAATATATGGTGACAGAGGCCTATATAATACAGCAGTGTTTCCACAGAGTCTAATCCTTCTTGCGGCAGCAGTAGTAGGTAGTTGGAACACTAGCTCTCCCACAGCAGCACCATGTTGGCTGCTGCCCTCCTCCTTCATTGCTCTCTTCAGCCATCTCTCCCTGACCCTCTCTTGCTGCTTCAGCAGCACCATTAAATATTCAAAATGGATAAACTGGATCGCTAATCACACTGGTCTTTTTACTGCCTGTTTATTTTGCACTGTTTGCACAGTTTGTTGCTTGTTAATACTGCTTATTTTGTTATACTAGCCTTATGTTGGTTTACTGTTTACTTGCCCCTTGCATGGGGATATGTACATGCACGGGGGCGGCTGTGACTCAGGAGGTAGAGTGGGTCGTTTCCTAATTAGAGGATTAGCGGTTTGATTCCCAGCTTGTCCAGTCAACGTGTCAAAGTGTCCTTCAGCAAGACACTGAACCCCCAGTTGCTCCTGGTGAACACTGGTGTGTGAATGTGTGAGTGCGAATGTGGAAGTAGTGTGAAAGCGCTTTGAATGTGCTGCAATGCATAGAAAAGCGCTATACAAGTATAAGAGCATTTGCATTGAGAGCTGATGTACCAGAGTCAAATTCCTTGTGTGTCTGACACACCTGGCCAATAAAGCTGATTCTGATCAGCTTTCCCACATGTGTTTTTTGATATCTGGTCTGAGGGGGCAATCATTCAGTATCAGAATGTATGACCTAGCATTAACTGTATGCACTTGCAGAGCAGTTCATATACAACCATGCTATATACAGTGTGCTGACCTCGACAACGGCTGCATTCTAACATTAGCTTAGCTAGCCTTACTATATCTCTAATAACATATTTGAAGAGCTGGATCTCAGTGATTGACATCATTGTGTTATGAAAACAAACAGAGAGAGTAGGAGCTGTTCACAGATGGTCTGTTGTCATGGTTGTTATGTGTTTGTGTGTGTGTGAGAGAGAGAAATAGAGTGTTGCATAGAGGGACTGAGCAAACACATGCAGTATACATGGCGCTACATTGTAACAGAATTTAACTTGCATATTTTAAATCAATATGTGACGGTCAATGTTGATATTGTTCCTCAAATAAGTCAGTGTATGGGAAACACTGATGCAGTAAAGTTAAACATGTTCTTCTTTTGTTATTAAAACAGCCCATAATGAAGTCATGGGGAAGTTGATGTTTGACAAGTCTGAACCTTTGCTATGATGAGCCTGTTTTTAAAATTCCTGTCATAGTGAGTGAGTTTAAATGTTTGAGCCATCAACCTGATTGCAGGTCTGAGTTTTTAATGTAATCAAGGTCTGGCCTGGTGGCTATGATCTAATAGACAGGATGGGATCAGAAAAGTGGTTCACTTGCTGTTAGATGAGAACATTGAATTGGACATGCATAGCTTTACTCAATGTAAGGGCCTTGGTGTTATACATATGAATGTATGCAACCTACAATCAAAGATGGACTATAACAAAGTGTGGGTTCAACAAACAAATTCTGATATTGTTGTGCTTTCAGAGATGTGGCTGACTGATAAGATAGATGATAATTCCATTGCAATTGAAGAATTCAATGTATTTTGCTGTGGCAGGTATACTAGAGGGGGAGGTGTGGCAATTTTTGTCAAAAAATGTTTTCCTGTTACTCTTGTTAATTCTGTGTCTACAGCAAAAGCTTCTGACTTTTTACCCATAAATGTCTCTTTAGGAAAAAGTGATAATTGTGATAGGCTGCTGGTTATTGGAATTTATCATCCCCCTTCTGCAAAATCTGATTCTATTACAAGCACTGAGAATACGAGTACTGTAGCTACAGCTAAGTACCACGGGGTAGAAAAAGGGCTTTTGTTAACAGTTTCTCAAAAGTCATGTGCCTCTGGCATAGAAAAGAATGAGAGTGATAGAATCACCACATTTTTTTATACTTTTGTTTATGCACTGATTATTTTCTAGTATAACTGAGTGAGCCTGTTTGACAATGTGAGTTGGGTCTTTTATGGCAACTAATTGATAAAATGAGAGAAACAGTTGTGCTAAATAATGTTGCTGTTGGCAGGTTGTTGCATTTAACTTTAAGCCACTGAAGCAAGTTATTGAGTTATTATAGGCCTATATGACATTGTCCAAAAATCATTTGCGTTATTTTTTTCATCTATATAGGATACTGTACAAACAGTTCATTGAGTATGCTTTTTGCAGGTGACCATCGAGGTGGTCGACAACACCCAGACTGAGACAGAGGTGGAGATGGATCTGGCCAAGGAAGGACAACGTAATGACTGGTCTCTGTCATCCTCAGAGTGGGCCAACAACCACAAGAAACTGTTCTGGCCGTTGTTCTGGGAGTATCCTGAGCAGGCGGAGAACAGGTTGGGAAGACTAAGATTGGAGGAACAGTCTGAGGACTATAACTATGATGTGGAGGAACCTGTCCTCAGTGGAGTAGGTGCAGACTGGGGAGAACACTGGAACAAAGACCGGGATACCAAGGATAGCTATGGTAGGAATGTGCTCTTAAAACCAAAACAGAGCCACGTTACACACAATACTGTATATTCACACAATATTAGGCTGGACAGTATGCAACATATTGTCTTAAACAATACAGATGGGAGGGGAGGCGACAGTGGAGCGGTGGATAGAGCAGTTGTTTCCCAACTGGAAAGTTGAAGGTTTGAATCTTGGTGCCTGCAGTCCACGTCGAAGTGTCCTTGGGCAAGACACTGAACGCCCCCGATGGTTAGAGCCATTGGCTGAGTTGATGCTGCAGATGGCTGCCTCGGTTTTGTACTGGAAACAAATTCCTTGTGTTTAACATACTTGGCCAATAAAGGTGATTATCCTTATCCTTATAGATTATGAGATTAACGAGTCCTGGCTCTCCAGAAACATTGCAGCAGTACAGTGTCAAGTGACGAGGCTGACAGTGAAGAAACAAAGCACTAACATTACACAAAGTTTGAATTACTTGTTCATAGGAGGATAAACTAAATATGTATTTATTTTAACACATCTTTTTAAAGATCAACATACAGACACATTAAAAAATAAACAAATAAAATAATGAGTTTATGTTATTTAAAACTGACATTCAATGCTCCTAGCAAGCTGTGCTGCGATAGACATGGGAGACTATTTTCTTTGACATGAACTCTCATCTATACTGATCGGACTCATCATGCATCAGAAAAGTTCCAGGACTGAGTGTGCTGTGTGAGCTATGAGTGGAGGAGGGATTAGCGGGTTGTGTCATCATGTGACATAATATCCAGGGTGTGTATAACTGCAATCTCAGCTCTCTGCAGCCGTTGTGTGCTTTTTCAGATGCTCTTGTTAACTGCTCCTTAAGTTCAGATTGTCAAGCAATGAGCACAGACCAACGAATCAACCTGAAGTTTTCGGTCGGCTGGAGAAAACTCAGAAATCCCGCGGCATTTGCTTTGTTCAGTGTGTGAGAAGAGGTGAGATTTGTGGCAGGACAAGTCATGGCTGTTTCATTAGGACAACACGCCAGCTCACAATGCCCTGAGCATCCAGCAGTTCCTGGCCAAGAAGAACATCTCTGTGCTGAAGCAACCTCCCTACTCACCCGACCTGGTTCTGTGGTTTTCCCCAAGCTCAAGGATGCCATCAAGGAGACCCATTTTTCAGACATGGAAGCCATCAAGAGGGCTGTGATGATGGAGCTGCAGAGAATCCTGGGAGAATCCTTCCAGGAGTGCATGGAGGAGTGGACCAGGATGGAAATGTGCATTAGCCTCGAGGGGATTACTTCAAAGGGGAAAACTTGCAGTTTCTATACATTTTTTTGTAATAAATTTTTGTGACCCCAGTCCTGGAACTTTTCTGACACACCTTGTATTTGTTGTGCTGCAGACAGCAAGCTTATGGTGGGCAGTGTAAAATATGAGTGGCTGCTTGGCTGGCGTGCCGGACACCAGACCATGCTCATCTGTGTGTGTATTTCTGAAATGTTCTATCACGTTGCTAGTGGTGGAATGGTAGGCTAACTCTAGCTTACATTATCTCGTGGTTCCACAATTTTGCCACCTACTGACCAAAATCCAAGGTATCTCCAAACCAGGCTTGTTAGGCTGTTTGGAGTGCAAATCACTCTCTGTAGCTATGCTGGGTTGTGAACTCTGCCATCATTACATGTAACAATGTGTGTGATTCCTGTCTGTCGTGCAGTGCATTCAGTGTAGCAGCCCAGGCCCATGTGAGAATTTGCAAGGCAGTCAGCCGCGGTCGCTTTTGTTAACAATCAAATATTAATTTTCACAATTGAATGTCTGTTTCTTTTTAGTATTCAATTATATAATCAAATTTTAGAATCAGAATCTGCTTTATTGGCCAGGTGTGTCGAACACACGAGGAATTTGACTCTGGTACGTCGGCTCTCAATGTGCATGTACATATCCCCATGCAAGTGGCAAGTAAACAGTAAAACAAACATAAGGCTAGTATGACACAATAAGCAGTATTAACAAGCAACAAACAATGCAAAATAAACAGTATAAACAGGCAGTAAACAATGCGGACAGACAAAGGAATGCTCATTATGAAATGAGATAAATAGGAATAAAATAGAGTACAATCGGTACAATTTATATTTACAGGTATTGCACTGAGGGTTATTGTCCAGAATTTGGAATATTCGTTACCAGCCCAAGAGTCTACAGACCACTTTAACATCTTTCAACTCATTGATTTTATTTTATGGTCCACAACAATATTTTTTGGTTCATTCTCACTGTTCTTATTTAGCAGCAAGCTGATATTTTCATTCTGATAAACCCACTGTACACGCTCAACAGCAGACAGGCATAGCTGAAGACTAGCCGGTTAACAAGTGGAACATTTAGCAGCTAAGAGTCAGATATAGTATTTCCTTCAGGAGTTAGTGGAGACCAACAACAGAGTTAGCAGTAATACAGGCTGTTTCTACTCCATGTAAGGTGAATAATGTTAAATTAATAATTTAAATTTGAGAAAACTAGGTAATGAGAAATAGATGCATGCCACTGTGACTTCACGTCACCTGCAGGGTGCATGATGCTAGCTAACAAGCATTATTTGTAAGAACTAATGCTACCTTTAAAATGTTGCCATACCTTTGAACACAATGCTGTGCAAACAAACAAACAAGCATTTTCCAATAACATTAATGGTTAGCAAGGCCAAGCTGCTACTGCTGCTACCTTAGATGTGCGGCAAACAGCTGTGCTCAATATAGCTACTGTAAATCTAATGGGTTAATATCATCCCTCCGTCAGTATCTTAGTGTCCAACTGATATAGTAAGCTGCACTGTTTGCCTGTGAATTTGACAAAATTTACACTATGATTTGGGGAAAAAATCTGCAAGAATTTTGAGTGGCAATAAACAGAATCTGATGAAAAATAAAACAATCTTATGAACTTTAAAAATCTGGATCCCCCTTCAATGGCAATCATTATTTTCTAAAACTAAAGCTGACATGTGGCCTCAGCCCACTGCCTACTGAAGAGATGAACTACAGTACGGGAGTTAAGTATGTTGTCTGTTGTGAAGCCAGACACTCTGTGAGGCTTTTCACAGTCCTTTAGACTGTTTGTGTTGGTGTGCATCCCACTGTCCAACATAAGCACACAGTTTCATGTGCTCACACTCAGACAGACTCTTTTCACTATCATACACAAACACCAGCTGGCCTTATTTTCCTTCCGGATCATTAGCAATTATGACTAGGACCAAAAGTATGCAATATTCATTTGGTGGCAGTCCATCATTAACTTCTGTGGGAAAACAGGCTTTGAGGGGAGTAGTACCAGATCTTTGTGTCTGGGCTAAATACGCTGGCATGGAGAGATCTGCAGAGATCAGGTCAGAACCGGAATGAAAGCTTACAGTAGCTTCAGTGATAGAAGGGTTTCATTTTAATTGTATTAGTTTATTTTATTTTCATTGCAAAAATACCTTTGCTACCTTTAAAATTCTGTACTCTTCTGAAAAGCTGAGTGCAAAGTTCTGCAAACAGTTCTCATTATTCTTACTGCTAGAAAACATTCACTCCTGCTGTCCCCCTCCACCCCTTTGGTCTTTTGAAGTTCTCCCCTCTCTCTCCCCTCCTGCAAGCATTGTTTAAATACAGGGGAGCATGTCTCAGAGGTCTCACACTGTCCTTACCCGGCTCTTTTCACCCACTCCTTAATTACATAACACACATACACCAGCTGGGTGAGGTATTCAAAAGGCTAACTTCAAAGCCCGCTCTTAATATGTTACTCCATAGGTTTGCTATTCTCCCCTCTGTGCTGTCTCCCTGTCGCCCATCTTTTTTTCCCATGCTTTGCAGAGTACGAGGAGAAGTGGAGCAGCTGGGCTCCTTGCAGTGTCACCTGTGGACACGGGACACAGAAACGCACCCGTTCCTGTGGCTACGCGTGCACTGCGACTGAGTCACGTACATGTGACCTGGAGGGCTGTGCTGGTATGAAGCAGATACTCTGTATTGTGGCAAGACTGCAAATTTCTGACATGTTTAAAAGCTGTTAACCACATTTTAGGGAAGGTTTTTTTAATAGAAAAAGTAGAATAAAACTTTGCCTCAGAGTTTTAATTGAGCTGCCAAGTTACTGAATGATGTGCAGTCTGTAAGAACAGTTAGTTTGGTTTTTTATTTTCATTTTTAAAGGGGAAGAGCAACGATGTAAGTACAAAGCCAGCATTTGTTAGTTTTGATTAGCATTATTTAAGCCATATTGATTTTATTATATTTAAAGACAGCCTCAACAACATCAAAGGCTGAAGAATTTGTAGTTTATGCATAAAACAGATTACTAATTACAAGTGTAGCCCTACTAGAACTGACTGGCAGGCAAAACGAAATCCTGGAAAATTGTTGCACCCTTGGTGCACAAATGCACACTTTGTGTTTCCATCACTTCAGGGGGCATTACACTGACTTACATTAATTTCCTGGAGACTTACCTTAATCTTTAAGAATATGGCCAGCCATTCTCTATATTAACAGTATTTTCAACAGCCCTTGCTCTGTCTGGGCAGCCGTCCAAGCAATAGACTGATAAGTTTTTTTCTTTCTCTTGCCTGCTTTAAGACTGCTGGGGTCATCTCACTGTCAGCCTTCTCACCTCTTCCTGTATCACCCTTGTCAGCCTTGGATACATTAAAACAAAGCAAATAAAATCAAAATAAACCACACTGGGAACAAATAAAGCAAACTAATAAAGCAAACTATTTTCAACAGTCCTCATATAGAGACTAAAACAATGATTTGCCTCTACTCATGGTCAAAGTCTATTTGTTTCCAACCTGGATTAGTTTATTCAACTGCGCCAAAGGCCTGTTGTTCAAAAAGAATTAAAACTGCATCAGTCAAACACACCACTGCGCTGGGTGACATAATTATATATTACAAAACACCAGAACTGCATATTTGTTAAAAATGTTACCCCAAAGCTACAAACAAAGAGAACATTTTAGAGCTTCTGAAACAAGCAAGAGTAAAGTGTGCATGCACAAGAACATCATGTAGGCTCTGCTTTGTTTACAGTCCACTCATCTGGCTTTCACAAAGATCTCTATAGAGGCAGGTCCAGCAGGGCTGCCCAGACACCTCTTTCTCCTCAGCAGTGCCTTCCAAGATCTTGTGGGGTACCCCAAGGTCTTCCCAGCCTAGGCGAGATATATAATGTCTCTAGTGTATTCTGGGTCTACCATGGATCCTCCTACTAGCTGAACATACCTGGAAGACCTCCAATGGAAGGTGCCCAGGAGGCATCCTAATCAGATGCCCAAAGCACCTCAACTGGGTCCTTTTGACATAAAGGAGCAATAGCTCTCTCCGAGTTTTGAGCTCTAGTCCACACCCTATCTCTGATATCCAGCCACACTATGGAGGGAACCCATTTGGCTGCTTGTATTCGCAGTCTCATTCTTGTAGTCACAACCCAAAGCTCGTAATCATAGGTGAGGGTTGGAATATTGATTGACTGGTAAATTGAGAGCTTTACCTTCTAGCTCTGCTCCCTCGTCACCAGTGGTTCAGTACAATACGTGTATTTCTGGTGGCACTGCCCCAGACTGCCTGTCCATCTCAAGCTCCATTTTACCCTCACTCCTGAGCAAGACCCCAAGATATTGCCATTTTTCAACAATGGAGCATGGCCTCATACTTGGAGGTGTTGATTGTCATCCCAGCTGCATCACACTCAGCTGAAAACTGCCACAGTGCAAGTTGGGGGCCACCGTCTGATAAAGCCAACAGAGCTCCATCAGCTGCAAAAAGCAGAGACGAAATTCTGATGTCCCCAAACCAGATACACCTCTCCCCCAGGCTGCATCTTGAGATCCTGTCCATGAAAATCACAAACCATATTGGAGACAAGAGGCAACCCTGGTGGAGACCCACACCCACCAGGAATGTGCTTGACCTTCTGCTGAGAATATACATACAACTTTCACTTCATTTATAAAGGACTGAATGGCTCACAATAACAGCCCAAGTACCCCATATTAGTGTAACTAAACCACACACACAGTTCTATACTTAGTTTTCCTATTTTGTCTATTACCATGTCTGTAAAATGCCAATATGTTTGAATGTATGTTCATTAAACCACCTTAAGACAAGTTGGTCCCTTCTTTGTCCCTTTGTCACATAGACATGGTGATTGCAGTGACTGAGCTGACACCCATGCAGATGACAAATAGCACCGACTCCCTGGACATAAGTATGTATAGAGTGTGTGTACTTATGTATTTTGTAGAATAAAATATTAATCCATGCATCCACATAGTAGTCAACAGGCTGTACTCCATGTTTTGTATTGGTATTGAACCATACACTATATGAAACACTGTGTTCCATTTGGTGATGGGGTACATACTCAGTCACTCACACTGTGAGAGCCTGGTTTTGATATTAGAAATCTCCCTTCACAGCATGCCAGGATCTGCTTCACTGAGTCTGTCAAAGACATAATGAAAAGCTGAGACAGCCTCTCATAAATGTTTGTATTGCTTTTTACTTTACCTTTTATTGCTCTCCTGCAGCTAAGCTCTGGCCAGAGAATATGATAGTTCTTTTCATTCTGCAAACATAACAAAGGATACTGCAGAAACAGAGAACATGATACAGTGTCAGACGTTTTACCTCTCAACATTACATCTACTACAGAAAGTTCATATCTTTTAATTTGACTTCTCTTTCTTTCTGGGGCACTCATCTGGACTGTGAGTTTCTCAATCCAGCCAGAATTGAATGGGTTTTGCTTGTTTCTCCTGTCTTTCTTTAAGCTATAAACATTGAACTCTTGGTATGGCTGTATCAGCAGAGTGATAGTGTGAAGTGTCAGGTTATATTGGCTGTAGTGCACTTGCATGACTATTGGATTGAATGTTACGAGTCAGCTGGAAGTCAAACAGCTGGTGAAGCACGAATGTAACAGCTGATGCCAGTCAGCTTATGCAAGTTTAACCTCAGTGCTCTGTATGAACTAACACTGGGCTCCATTTCCTGATAGTTATCCAACCTGAAGGCACACATTTCTAACAAGGCTCTTCCCTGCCTGTTCACATTTTAGCAGCTGCTTTCACTGAGGAGAGTGACCATGGCTTTGGTCCCGAATGAGGACAAATGAAATGTTTTCAAGCTTATTGTTTCTGCTTATTACCCTCTCTTTTCCTAGTCATTAAATTTAAAGTTGTTTAAGGTGTAGAATGAAGCCCAAGACAAAGATGTGCTGATACATGTATATAATGTTTTTCTACTCATCAAAATAAAGGTGTCTTTGTATTGTTAGGTATTTTTAGTCAGATAGATATTGGTTAGATACTTTATGTATTAGAAATGTTTAGTGGAGATAGGATGTCTAGTTAGACTGTTAATGCTTAGGCATGCTTATGAGTTTCTACAGGGTACATCTGGTCAAGGATAACTAGAGAGAAGAGTTGATGACTGTCAGCAGACAGGGTGTTTAATATTATTATTATTATGACGTGTATAACTGTAGCCTTAGCCATAATATGTTCTTATGTTTAAGTCATGACATGTTACTAGAAGTCGTGTGAGAATGTTTTTAGCTACACACCACTTAATCAACAGACACACACACACATTGATTTGCTTCATGTTTTGACTACTGCTATGACCAGCTGCAAAGCTGGCAACAGAGACGTCTCGGTTGACGTTTCTGTGTAGTATGGGGCTAGCCCAACCGAAGAGATATAATGTACAGGCCTGTTGGGTTCAGGGGTTTTCATCTTCCAGCTACCTGCGTGCAGTTTGGAGGTGCAAGATGCCTGAGCGTGTAATGTTAATTTTTGCCTGTGTTCATGGAATAAGCACTGTTTTGTAGTTACTTGGACTGCCTTGTCTCTCAGAGTCAGTATGGTAAAAAGTACCGGGTACAACAGTATCAATTTCTGGTGTTCCTTTAGTGTATGTTATCTACTCCCATCCTTTAAGTGCAGGTGTTCACAAGCCATCACAGTCCTTTTAGTGAACATCTAGTTGCAACCTATGCATTTGCTTGAGCACCCTTTTTGACCACATACTTCCCGAAACTATTGAGCTGCAAAAAATAACTCAGAAGCTAAACTAGGCAGGGCCATATTAAACTATTCTAAATTGAAATACTGCATGATACCTTTGCATTGCATAACTGGCTGCATGTACTGTATATATAAATGTAAATATACCTGGGCGCTACATTTTAGATGTTTGTGTAGGATTAACCAAAACTCATTTCACTGCAGAAAACTAACTGAACACTGTTAAGACTTTCTGTTATAAATACCTACTTTTTCTAATCTTCCAAACCCCCACCCCTTCAACACAGATGTAGACAGCTGTGAGAAGTGGCTAAGCTGCAAGAATGACTTCCTCCAGAAGTACCTGCACCAAGTGCTCACGGAGCTCCCCAGCTGTCCCTGCTCCTATCCCTCTGAGGCTGTTTACAGTTCCGTCAACATCCAGGACAGCAAACTTCGCAAGACTTACCGCTGGAGGGATGTGAGTGGACCCAAAGAACGTCTGGACATCTACAAACCATCAGCCAGATTCTGCATTCGCTCAATGCTATCATATGACAGCACAACATTGGCAGCGCAGCATTGCTGCTACGATGATCAGATGAGACTGATAACACGTGGAAAAGGAGCAGGAGCACCTAATTTAATTAGTACAGAGTTTTCACCGGAGTTGCATTACAAGGTGGACGTATTGCCTTGGATCCTGTGCAAAGGGGACTGGAGTCGGTTTCACTCGGTAAGGCCACCCAATAACGGGCTAGAGTGCGCAGACAACCCCCTTGAACAAGTGTTTCAAATGGAACTCAAAGAGGCCAGGGAGTATTGACACTGTGGGGGTGTGCAGTCATAACCAGAAGGAAGGATGACATGGTGGTTGCTAATTTAAATTGCCATTTGTCCTGTGTATCATCTTCATCCTGCATGAGCACAGAAAAAGTGAACTGCAATATTACCATAGAGTTTCTTTGGTACCATGAAGATTTTTGGCACAGCTCATAGCCTCCTAGATCAACTGATGCTTGGATAACACTGGTTTAAGATAGGACATAACTTTTGATGAAAATATGTTTGGAAGACATAGACAACAAAGACTGGTGAAGTGTTTTTATATTTTTTACAAAAGTAGACTGTTATATGTAGACTGTTCAGAAATGAAATAACACTGATGTTGGAAGGACAATGAAAATCAGTGTTTAAGTATTTTTATTTTCAGCTAATCCCTGGCCCTGTATGTAGCTGCTACTCTTTTGGGATGCTCTGAGATTAGTTGATTCTTGTCAAACTGCTTAAACAGCAAATAAAATCAAATGAACTATTGAACAATTAATAGTCTATATGCTTAATGTTCATGTTCAGAAATGATCTGGCAGAAATATTAGCAGAATGAGGAGTTATACACCTGATGAGGGAACAGGTGCATCTTCAGTGCCTCACGTGAGACTCTAATTCGGGGTGGGGGGTGGGGATTGTCCTTACTAATGTTGAGACCAAACCTATGGCCTTGCTTTGTAGGATAGGTGTTCTAGCTAATGAATGCATGATTGGGCTTTACCATCCTTTTGATTATGTCATTTTGGATGTAGGAGTGTGTGAGCAAAAATGAAACTTGCAGGTTCTATTTTTTAATTATGCAGATACTTTAAAACATTCCTGACTTGAGAGATAAAACACACAGGCCTCTATTTTCCAGAAACAGAACGCAGTGCTAAACTTGTGTCTAAATGCCAGACGCAAGGCATTGGGGCCTGTCCAACAATGTTTTACAATTTTGGTGACCACAGACAGCGCAGTTTTGTGCACAGCCAGCCATTACCAGGTGCATTGTGGAGGTCTTCTCACTGGAACAGCCCTTTGATGGAGTGAACACTGACCAAAATGTCTTGACCACCTGCATTGTGGTTACTGGATGACCTACCCTGCCAACTGAGACACCGTTACCCTTTGTTTGTAGACTAATATCAATCTGTTAATATCAGAAAGGTTTCAGCTTCTATTATAAATGTTGTAATACACACATTTATATAGATAAGGGGTGCTCAGCTAGCTGTAGAGGTGCTGGTAGGTGACAGACCTTGCTCCTAGACTAAACGCTAAGCGAAGCTAATATGCTTAACTTGCTAAAATAAAAGTAGATCAATCTCATCTAAATGTCAGCATGATAGCAAATTAATGCATTTCCCAACATTTTAATAAAAGTTGTGTCTGTAGTTAACGATTACATGATTTTCTAGTACATTACGGCAGGCTGTAGCCTGACATCAGAAATAATCTTTTATTTTATTAACATCAGCATCAATGACTTTATGCGCTTTCCAAATAGAGCTTCATGCATGTTTTGTTCATTGTATTTTTCTCTGAATGAGTTGGTTAGTGTGGCCTGATACCATGCACCAGTGTTTTCCAGCAATTGAAACTATTATCGGCACTCTGTCATCTCCAGTGTGTGAAGCATCCTGGGATCAATGTAACCTAATAAGGTTACAGTGTTGATTTACACTCATCCTCATCCCCTTTAGTATTAGTGCTTGCTTGTACTCAGTTGTTCTGTTGAAGAGGAGACTTGTGTTGAAACATTTTCCTTTCCTCCGGTTGTTGCATTCCATCAAACTCAAGTTTTCTATGAGAGAAGCTCTGAAAGACCAGGGCGTGAAAGGAAAGGTGAAAAGTGAGACACTGTTGATGGAGGGAAATTGCACTGATTGATATAGGTGTGTGTGTTGAGTGACAGATTTGGGCTAAAATAACAGGAACATGAGAATAATTGCAATTTATTTTTATACACCTTTATGTTTTATTTGAGAATAAATGAATGAAAAACAATGTGTGACAAGCCACTACAGGAAGTTGTCACACCTAAGCTGATAGATTACCCCTAACCCTTCCTGCTGTCTTCTTGTGCTTGTGTAAGTGTGTATTTATGTGATAGTCAACACTGGAGGGGAAACAGAGACTCTCAGTAAACATTTCGAGCCTTTGAAGTTTCTTCCTCCTCCCTCCTTCCCTCTTGCTGTTCTGGGGTCTATTGCACAACTGTGTTGGTTTCAGACACTGACAGTGTGTTGTTTTAAGAACTTCATCCTGTTGAAGGTTATCAAGGTTTTGACGGAGTCCAAGAGCTTGTTTGAAAGAAATGAATATAACAAGCTTTGATAGAGAGAATGGTCTTTACAGGACGTTTACTTGTCTGTTCACAAAGTCACAGAAATCTTTGTTAGGTTGGCTTGTTTTCTTTCTTTCTGGCTGCCCATCTGCCAGCCTGCCTCATCACTGACATGACAAGACATGGGAATTCACTCTTGGCTATCAATAAGTTGTCTCTGATTACCACACACTACATTAAATACAAAAACACACAAAAACATAATAAAATATGAGTAATACACATATTATTTCCTTCTCTCACATGTAGGCAGTACATGTACAGATACAGGCATACCTGGTTACAGTGTGACTTTACAGATTCCAGTTCCACAGGGTGCCAACTACAGTAAAGTTCAGCAGCACTGGACAAAACTCTGCTTTTCAGGTTAACCACAACCAAGGCCATACCATGCTCTGTGCAACATGAGAGGTCTGTAGGAGATTAAATGAATGGATTTGTGTCGTCATGTCGGTGCTCAGCCACCCGCCAATCACCTGACACCCACAGGAAGAAATTCAAATCTCCAGGATGTAATCTCACAAAACATGCTGTCATACAAACATCTGTATCAAATGTATGTCTGCTTATTTATCTTTACTTTCCAGGACAGAAGTTCATATCAAACTAAGTGCATCATGGTCACATGTATACTATCCCAGTGACAAAGAACAATGAGAAATCTTAATAACCTGCATTACAGAGCATGAAGAAATGTAACCTTGAGGAATAAACGGATGAAACTAATTTGAAATAAACCCACACAGTTTCAGGTTCCTTTCTGTCTGGCAGTGTTTTAGTATCATAGATACAATATGTTACCTGCCTTCCTCTATTGGCCAGCTAACAGCTGGGATCCATCTTCTTGTCAGTGCCAGGAATTAAAATACACAGCTTTTAATTAACACTCAGCCTCTTTACTTCAATAAGAAGCTGCCATCCGGTGGCAATGGCCAGCTAACTGCTAAGAGTCTGTATCTTATTTAGTTGGATTGGTGATGTGGATGAAGATTGGAGTAATGGATATCTGTGTTTGCACAGGTCATATTCCAGCTGTTCCAGCTGAATAAACTGAATAAAAAATATCTGCATATTAGCAGGTCCATAACCCAGCGGCTCCTCTGTTCAGCATCAGGTTTCATGCAGCATCCCTGCCCTGGGCCAATACACTGGGTGGGAGAAGGTATGTAATGAATGAAGTCAATGTTTCATTAAGTGCAGTGATGAGTTGACGTCAGGTAAAAGCCATTTCCCCATATTAACTTCCCTCAGTGTGTGTACATGCTTTAATCCATTTACAGCAAATCACATGTACGTTAACATAAGCACTTGCACTAAAGGATAATGTTTTTCAGCTCTTGTCAGTTTGTCCATCCACACAGCTCATTGGTTTCCATTTATTTTAGCTTTCTTGAGTTAACATATGAAAGTGACCATCATGTCTATTGTTACAATAACCCTAAAAGCATAATCACACTATCACAGAAAAGCCTTGCCATTGTTGTATATGTGGTACACTGTCCAGGCTCTACATTGATGTCAGTGGAGTGTAGCACAAAGCGAGGGTTTATGATAAGTTCAATTTGTTGAACTTTGACCAAGTTATGTTAACCTTTGTGGACATAGCCAATCACTCTTGACCACTGCTTTAACCAGTGAAAAACTCAGATTACCACAAAGCTAAAGAGTGCACATAACAAGTACAACAAAGTCTTCTACTAGAAACGCATGTATACATATATCTAATAGATGCTGTTGGACTGTGTTGAGCTAGGGTCCTCTGCAGCAATGGAAATAAATGAGTGTTAGGTATTTTTTTAGTCAAATAGATATTGGTTAGATACTTGTTGTATTAGAAATGTTTAGTGGAGACAGGATGTCTAGTTTAAACGCTTAGTCATTCTCATGAGATTTTAGCAGGGTGTACATGGGCAAGGATAACTAGATAGAAAAGTTTGATTGTCAGCAGGCAGGATGATCATTATTATTATTATTATGATATGTTTAGCCGTAATCTTAATCATAATATCTTCCTAGGCTTAATGTCCGGACATGTCCCTGAATGTCCTGTATGTCCTTAGATACACACCACATAATCAACACTCACACACATTGATTTTCTCCATGTTTTGACTACTGCTACGGTCAGCTGTAAAGCTGGCATATCAGGTGACGTCACGGTTTGACGTGCCTGTGTAGAATGGGGTTAGCCCAAACCAGATATAATGTACAGGCCTGTTGGGTTCGGGGTCTTTCATTCTTCATCTGCCTGCGCGCAGTATTGGAGGTGGAAGATACCTGGACGTGTAATGTTAATTTTGCCTGTGATCCTTTGAATAAACCAGCACAGTTTTTTCTATCCACTTGGACCGCCTCGTCTCTCTGAGTTCCTGCTTAAGAGAACTGGGAAAAATAGCTTTCATGAGGGAGCTGTGTTTTTGAGTGAGTAGCCTGTCAGTTTGAAGACTGTCTGCTCACACAGACCCCAAAGTGACAATTCAACATGCGTTAGTAATGCAAATCAGACCGCTCAGCTGTCTGTGTATTGTATTTATTTGCCCCAAACAACCAATACACTGACTGTACAGACGTTGATTAGCAATGCACATGCTAATTGCATGTGTGTCTTTGTGAAAGCTTAGCCTTTGACTCATCTCAGAAGAGCTCCAGTTAACCATATTTTCCCTCAGTGTTTTACTATTTAAAACAATTCTACTTGTGCTGTGTCATTGTCTCAGTTTGCATCACTGCTGCTAAGTTTGTGTCCTCATATGTCTTTCAGTACTTTACATGCGATCATCATGTGTTGAAGACTTGCTTTGCATTTAGTCTGAACACACTTGACAGTCAAGCTGCTGCAGTGCATCTGTTTCCTAATTTGCTTGGTTGCTAATGAGCTATTGGCTTTCCATGCTCAGGGATTTGGATCTAAAATGGAGGCTGAATTCCTGACTCAAAGATTTTGAATCAGGACTTGAAGGAAACATGAGTGAAAATATTTCCTGGCTCAGTTTTTATTACCATATCCAGCTGTCAAACAGCAAGAACTCATCCTTTTCTGAAATCTGTGAGTTGAAGATACTGTGCATTTAGCCTTGTTGTAT